CTACTTTCTCGGCAGCGTCCCTGCTGTATATATTTGCTTTGCACGCACTGGGCCCCGTCATCGGCCGTGGGTGCCCTGGCGCCGCGGCCGGGCAGCTGCCGTGGATCCCGCTGGCGGGTTTGGCCGCGCCAGCACAATCAGGTGAGAACTCTTCCGCCTCTGAGTGGCCTTTCCTCCCCCCCTCCGCGGCCGCGCCCTCTGCCCTCTTCCCGCTCTTGTACGCTGGCCAAGTTGATGTTCGGTGCCCCCGTTTAGCTTCATCGCTGGTGCAGCCATTTCTCCCTCGCCGCCGAAGAAACAAGTTTGGCTCCAGCCTTGGGTCGCTCTGGACGTGGCTACCACCTCCTGGATTAAAAAATCCGGATTGGCCCTACAAGGACCCTTGCGTCCTCGCTCAGCGACTGTATCTGGAGCATTGGCCCTCGATGGATCTTCGGCTCCCGATTTCGGATATGTCCTCCAAGACGAACCCAAGGCAACGCCGCGCGCCGAACAACGGCACAGCACCGCAAAGCATCGATCACCATAACCAGAAAGTTCTGTTTAGAATCGCGCGCGTCGAGACAAATTAACGCGCTTTGTTGAATTTTCAGAAAGATGACGCTACTTCCAGGCAGCATCATACGCCAGGCCGGATTTGTTTTGTGAGGAAGTCTCAAGCGAAATCGCACATGTCCGATCGCCTCTGAAAATTCCAGGTCCTCTGGAACCCGATCGGAGATTTGTTCGAGGGAAGTCTTGGGCGGAATGCGAATTTCCGATCGTCGCCCCATTTGGCGATTAGATTATTAAAGGGGGTATGGCATGAACCGGAAATCCGCCATGGCGGTCTCGGCGACATTGTACTGGGGCCCCGCGGCCTAACGGGACGCGCTCAATGCTAGCTGCTAAGTTTCCGCGACCTCTGCGGTCTAGGTTTTTTATTCGGGGGGGTTGTAGACCATCCTGGGGCCAGGGGGCCGGCGCAGCCGAGCGCGGCGAAGCACCACCGGGACCAGCCAGAAGCAACTTGCGACGTTTCCGATGGCAAAAGGAGGGCGGTGCGGAGGCGGCGAGAGGGGGGAACGAGGAGGCTGAGGAGCCGGAAAAGGAGGACGAGCTGCAGCAGGAGCAGCCAAAAGGAAGCAGGAGCATCGCATTTCTTGTTCCCCTCCCTCTCTCTCTCTCTCTCTCTCCCTATCTCTCTATCTCTTTCTTTGTGTGTGTGTCTTTCTCTCTCTCTCTCTCTTTGTCTCTTTCTTCCTGTATCTCTATTAATATTTCTGTGTCTCTCTCTCTCTCTCTTTCTGTCTGCGTCTCTCTCTCTCTCTCTTTTTTCTTTCTCTCTCTCTCTCAGGCTAGTCGATGGCTCGCTTGGGCCCGCCGAAGTCCACGGAGGCCCACTTTTAGCATGACTTCTACATTGCATGGTTGGAGATCAACAGTATCTGCGGCTTCTCCCCGTCCTCCGCCTCCTTATCCACTCCTGGGAATCCTCCTTTAATCCGACGAGAGTTTCGCGATAGCAGCGCGCCGCGCGATGATCGCGATCTCGCGTGACATATGAGCGGGGCAAGCATTGTGCACGTGGAGGGGCCAGCAAGACGGCCCGCGAGGCTTGTCGGTCGAGGATCTTGCTCTTTGAGACACGCGGTATTGCTCCACGTGTTCAGGATTGTAATTCAGATGAAGAAAAGATGCCGATAGGGATGCCGATGACGTTCCTCCGGTTTGACATTTTTTGATCTCCTTGGAGGATTGCTTGAACCGCCTTGGGGGTGGTGCTCATGTGTGGGTCCCTCTTCTGTCCCTTTGAGACCTTCTCGGGTCGTCGTGCATCTCTTGTGCCGTCTTGAGCCCCTATCGGCCGTCTTGGGAGTCCGTATTGGCTGTCTTGGAAGCTTCTTGTGCCGCACGGCCGTAGTGGGCTGCCCTGGCCTCCCTGCCCTGCTTCTTTGCCGCGGGGGCGGGGCAGGCTGTGCTGTCTCCGTGCGCCTCTCCATGGCGCAGTTCGCCTCCTCCCTCCCCTGCGGCTGCCGGGTGCCCGCCCCCCGCCAGCGGCTCCCCTCCAGTCCCGCCCGGCCCCGTCCTCTTCCCCCTTGCTCCCCCCTCCCCGCCCCATGCCCACGGGTCCCCTCGAGCCCGCCCGACCCACACCGCCGCTCCAGCCACCCGCCTGCCCAGCCGCGAAGGTCGACGGCTTCCTGCAGCGGTGGGACCTGAGCGAGGAGTCGGAGGAGATCGTGTGCGCCCTGCCCGCCGACCTGCGCGCGATCCTCCTCCGAGAATTCGCGCCGCGGCGCTTCCCCGACGCCCGGCTGGCGTCGCTGGCGTTCGGCCTGGTGCAGAGCAGCCGCCGCACGGGCCGAACGGCGGTGCAGGAGCGTGCCCGTGGGCTCCCGTGCGAACCTGCCGACCCCTGGGGGAACTGGCGCCGCGGCGCGCCGCCGGACAAGGGGTAGGCCGAGATTCTCACCTCACGGACGCGGGAGCTTGCGTATAAGAGCTTGCCGACTCTGAAACGGCGCCCTTCTCCTCCCGTCCCTCCCCCTCCGTTCCCCCGCGTGCCCTCCTGGCCCCTCCCTCTCTCTCTCTCTCTCTCTCACTCCCTCTCTATCTCTCTCTCTCTCTCTCTCACGCCCTCTCTCTCTCTCTCTCTTTGTCTCTCATTATTTCTTTATGTCGGTTGTTGTTGTTATATTTGTTATTGTTGTTTGCCTCTCTCTCTTACTCTATCTCTCTGTGTGACGACGCCAACCACGCAAGATACACCATGACAAGATCCCGCGCCGCGGAACCCCTCTTCAACCACGCACCCATGGACGGTGTAAGACAGTTCGGCCCCAGCATCCTAACTTCAGTATCATCATCGTCTCCAGCATCGCCCCCGTCCTTCTTCCGCCTCCTCGTCCTCGCTCCTCAATTCCTCTTCCTCGCCGTCCTCGCCAGGCTGTCTACCCTCGCTTCATCATCCGTCTACTCCATCCCCGCCCCCGTCTCTCTCCTCCTCCTGCACGATCCTTCTATATGTCCCTTCTTCGTCTTCCTCCTCAGTCTCCTCAGCATCCGTCCCTGCTCCTCTGTTCTCCTCCGTTGTTCTCCCCCCATACCGTCTCTCCCTTCGTAGTGTATGTGTTCGTCTTCCTTCTCCTCCTCCTTATTTTTGTTCCTCACCCCATCATCGTCGCCAGTATTCGTCGTCATTACCATGTCCTCTCATCCTCCTAGTCCTCGCCATCACCCCATGCACTATATTCCTTCTCTTTCCGAGCCACCTTCCAGCCCCCTCCCCTTGTTGACCCCTTGTCTGGATGAGGGGTGAGCGAGGGAGGACTTGGATGGGGTGCTCAAAGCGGAGAGCCAATGGACACGGAGATTGTGACGGCTCGAGCTCAAGAGGTTATTGTGTTCAGTTGCGCCGCAATGCAGGGAACGAGAGTAGACCTTCACCTCGATGAGCGAATGATGATCTTGAAGCGGAGCTGGCTGACTTCTTGACTTGGAGGCGTGGATCGGTTCAGTGGCGTTGCAACGCAGAGGGCGAGGGGGAAATCCAGGCTCGACGTTGAATATTTCAAGATCTATTATTAGCTCGGCAGCAGCTTGAACTCTTAACCTTGAAACTCCCAATGGTACCGCGAGGCAGAGGGCCAAGGAAGAACCAAGCTAGATATGACAAAATCCCAGATCTTGAGTCGACGAGTGGTGACGGCCATGGCTCATTTTTGAGATAGGTTCAAAAGCGTCGCAGGTCAACTTGTCAGGGAGGATCTACAATCCATAGTGGAACCATCAAGATCTTCAGTCGAAGTTGCTGGCGGCTCAGGCTCAAAGCACATTCAGGCGAACAGCATCACATGGAGAGGGCTAGGGAAAAAACAAGCTCCGCCCAGAACCAGTCAAGGCCTTGATGAGGAGAAGAAGACTGACAAGCCCCACAGCGAATATCGCCCGAATGGCCGAAGATCGTTTAGATGAAGAGACAGTAGCAGGATTTCCCTGCATCTGTTGCGCGCGGTTCAGCTGCGGCTCATGATTGGCATCAGACGTGGCAAGGACCAGTTGATGAGTTCATCATGGCTACCTGTCGTGATAAGTTAATCGACGTAGCTAGGGGCTCAGGCGAAACGAACATTCGAACCCCAACCAACGAGAAGCACGTAGACAGACGGCGGCGCAGTGCTCACACCTGGAACACTGGGCTCAGTGCAGCGGCGCAAAAGTCCGAATATGCCGGAGAAGCGCTGCAAGCAGGGACGAGGCCTGGAGGACGGCCCCTGACCTGGGGCAGGGCACGCTGGCATATGCCGAGGCCGCACGGCGCAGGGCTTCTCGCTCATACCTGGGGGTCGGCACGAGCTTACCCCGCAGCCCTTCCGGCAGCTTCGGGGAAGCTTCGGGGAGGTCTCGCGCCACTTGCTCTGCGTCTCTTGGGGCCTCGTGGCAGGTACCCAGTGACTTGCTTCGGAGTCGGGGTTCGTCATTGCGGGTTGCGTTGCTCAGAACCAGGTGACTCACCATGTGGTGCAGGCGGCGCGTCTGGGTCAACCGATGTCGCCTGCAGGGGCTCCAATCAGGCGTCTCAGCTCTTCATTCGACCCTGCCGCGATCAGCAGCTCTGGGCAGGCCCGTCCCAGCGCCGTCCTGTCGCAGCCACGGCGAGGGTCCTCTGCGGCAGCGGCGCAGCGCTACGACGAGTGCAGGACCGGGTGATGGCAGCCACCGTGGCCGCAGAGGGCCACCACCAGGCACAGGTGGAAAGAGGCTCGGTGCGGGGCACCGCTCTGCACGTGAGGGCGAGGGCGGATTGGGCCGGCCCAGGACCAGGATAGGTCGTTCCAGAGCGTCCCGGATCGATCTCTCAGAGCTGCCTGGAGCTCTTTGGAACGGCCGCGGCGCCTGATGGATTTTCCAGAGCCGCCGGACCTCAGATATCCCCTGTTTTGTCCCCGTCGTGGTTCCGTCTTCTTAGCGGGAGAGCACCGCTGCGAGCTGGAAGGTGCGGGCCATGCGTTTAGCTGCTGCCGCCCCTTCCGTTTGGAGGGTGCGCTCTCGAGGGCACCGCGTTGCGCGCTGACGGCTCGTCGCGCGCAGGGAGTGGCGGCGGCGCCGGCTTCGGCGGCTCGGACGCCCCGTCCGTCCGCACGCCTGGTAGACGTCCGTGCGCAGCTGGGCAGTTGGGGGTCCCAGGGCTCACTTCCACCCTTCGGGCGAGAGGGGGAGCGGGAGCAGCAGAAAGAGAAGGAGTAATATGAACAACATGTTGTTGTTTGCTTCCCGCTCCCTCTCCCCATCCTCCTCCTCCTCCTCCTCCTCCTCCTCCTCCTCCTCCTTCTGATGCTCCTCCTCTTCCTCATCCTCTTCTTTTTACTTCAGTGCCCCGCTGCGGCCTTCGTGTTTCGGCGCCGTCGGGAAGAAGAAGACACAACACATACAGTCGGGGCCCTGAAGAAGGAACCCTTTTCGTTGGGGAGGGGCTCGGTGTTCCTTGATTGGGCTGCAATTTGCCTTCTGTTTTCCTGAGGTTTTCCATGGGAAATCGAAGTTCAACTTATGGGAGAAAGGGGCCCCGTTCCTTATTTAGGGTTCCTTATGTCAACGCCCCGACTGTAATAAGAAGAACAATTAAGAAGGCGAAGGGGGGAGGAGATCAGCGTACTACGGGAGGTATGCGACAAGCTGCTTTGCCATCGGAGACGGCTGCAACGAGACGGCCGAAAAGTATATGCCCCTACAGGCCCTACACGGCGGCAAGGTGACAACGCTCCAGCCGCCCCGGAAGACGCGCCCCCGACGGTGGGAACGCTTACGATCGTACCGCTCTTCGCTCGCCGAGGAGCAGGAGCAGCGGCAGCGTGGGCAGGCCCCCCACAGCAGGGGGACCCGGGAGCAGGAGAAGGACTCGGCCATCCGACGTCGTGCTGTTCTCGCGGCGTGGGGCCCGGGCCCCTCCCCTCAGCGACTGGCCTCTCGCCCCGTGCCACTGTTACCTGGCGGCCCCGGGGCCCGGTCGGGGCCTCCAGAGGCCGAGAGCTGCCGAGCCAGATCCCGTCGCGAGTGCTCCACGACGCGAGGCTGTCCTCGCGACCGGCCTCACCGCCCACCAACCAACCACCCCAACCCAGCCCGAAGGCCCCGATGTGCCCTCCATTTCCAGTGAGGGGGGGTCGGGGAACATGGACAAAAAAGCACATATGAAGCCCGTACCCCCCCGAACCCGAAATGCGGGTCTTCGGGTTGGGTTGGGGTGGTCTGGTAGGTAGTCACGATCCTCATTCCCTCTGGGCCACGGCATCTCAGCCCCGCCCGCCCCCGCCCCCAGGGGGGGCACGCAGGCCCCGCGAGACCCGAAGGGAGCAGCGTAAAGCATACAGATCCGCACCTATTCAGGAGGAGGAGGAGGAGGAGGGGAAGGGGAAGGGGAAGGGTCGGCCATTGGGCCCCAAGCCATGCCAGTGGGGATTGCGGATCGGCGGATCGGCTAAGCGATGCGCAGTTTTTCTGTTCAACTGGAACGGCCTGCAGGGTGCCAGACAATCAAGGTGGTTAATTTGTCCTCTGCTCCGTGTCTCGGTGAGACAAGGTGGTGTTGGGTCGGCGCCAGAGCCTCGTACTCAAAATTCCCGCGGCGGTGGGCATGCCGAGACGGTCTTTCACTTGATGTAACAACTAAGGCCATGACGCCGTCACACTCAGCGGGCTAAGCGATGCGCTGGGGAGGGGTGGTCGGAAGCGGGGAGGAGGGCGACCCCGGCGGCTAACCAGGCTCGTGGGTCGGCGCGGATTGCAGACGGGCATCGTCGGGCTGCCCAACGTGGGCAAGAGCACGCTCTTCAACGCGCTCTGCGGCGTCGGCGCGCGCTCGCACCACGGGGCAGAGGGGGGGGGTCGCGGCCATGGGGGGGCGGGGGCAGGAAGAGGCCGGAGAGTGCACCCTGGCATCATCACGTCGCGAAGACATCACGACGAGAGGTTCTGGTGAGTGATTGTCGGCCTCCGGGGGCCCTTGCACGGATTGGTGGCCGTAGCACAAACGACTCAGGGTGCAAAGCAGGTGCCTTGCCGTTCCTGGGGAAGGGGTCTAGACTTTTGGGAGGGCCGCCCTGTGGAAGAATCGCGACGTCGGATGTCTGGGAGGGTGTGCGGGCGAGGGGGGGGGCGGGGGGCAGGAGGGAGGCATGGAGAGATCGGAGCGGGAGAGGAGCAAAAGGACAAACGGAGGGAGGCATGGAGGGAGGGAGGCGGTGGAGGAAGGCAGGGACAGAGACAGACAGGCAGACAGGCAGCCACAGAGGCACAGACAGGCAGACAAGGCAGGGCTGGCCCGCACAACTTCATCGCACTCATTCCGGCATCCCTGCGCGGGCCCATGTGCGATTGTTTTTGTGCGGGCAAGCTGGTCCGGGCGCGGGCCGGCGCGCCTCCTTTGCCCTCCCCCCTCCCCCTCTCTTCCATCCCCTTCCCCGCCCCGCGCGCTCGTCGTTCGTCTGTCGTCCGTCGTTTTCGTCGGCGTGTCGCGTC